CCTAGCCTCGTGACATTCGCGCTAGTCCTAAAGGGGCTCCGCTAGGGCTATGCTTACGTCATATCAACCCGGTCCATTTTGGGAAAGGTCAGTTTATGCCTGAGGCCAACACAACATCTAAAGTACGAGTATTCGCCTTTGCCATGGCCATTGCTGTGGAGTCTATGAATGAGCTGATGTATTCATGGTATTATTGACATCGCTGAAAGTATCACTTTTCATATCTACATTTAAATATATCCCTTGATGACCGCAACTTCAGCGTTGAGGATCGATGAGCCAGCAGCACCCAGGACGGTGTTGTGAGAGAGAGCCGCAAATCGGAGATCGAAGTAGCCACCCTGCTGACCCTCGCGAACACGTCCAACACTGACGGTGAATCCCTTGGAGATATCGCGGTCCAGGCGGGGCTGAGGGCGATCAGGCTCATCGAATACCTTGATGGCGGCTTCGGGGGCAGAGGGAGCGCCGAGCTTCTGGGCCTCGGACTGGTACTCCCGAAGAGCCTGCACAACCTGCTCCTCGCTAGGGGCAGGGCGGTTCTTGAAACGCAGCGAGACGAAGGCCATGTGACCATCAGTGACGCCGACACGAGTGCAGGTAGCACCGATACGCAGACCGGTCTGCTCATCGAAAGCAGTGGCGTCAGTGTTAAGGGCACCAAGAATCTTCTGGGCCTCATTCTCCAACTTGTCTTCCTCACCACTGATGAAGGGGATCACGTTGTCGACAATGTCCATGCTGGGCACACCGGGGTAACCAGCACCGGAGATAGCCTGTTCGGTGAAGACCTCAACCTCCTCGACCGGGCCGAACTTGGCTTGGAGGGCGGCAAATGGAATGACGATACCAATGACAGCACAGTTAGAGTTGCAGACCAGGAAGCCCTTCTTCAAGCCGAAGTGCTTGCGCTGGTGAGGGATCAAATCCATGTGGGAGGGGTTCACAGTGGGGACCACCAGAGGAACAATGGGGTCCTTGCGGTAGTTCTTAGCGTTGGAGAAAACAGCGATTTCAGCCTTGATGAATTCCATCTCTATTCTCAATGGTTAGCATGAGTACAGTTGAAGCTCGTGGTGATGAATGGGACCATACCAGTCTCGCCAGCAATATCGCTGTTCAATCCGGAGAACACCAGATCACAATCGCTGAAGTTGGCAGCTCGGCATTCTCGTAGAACAAGGTTGCCCAGGTTCTCAGACATAGAGGACGCCTGCTTCCAGCGCACGGCATCCTTGTACTTCTTACCAGCGTTGCGCTCAGAGGCACCAACGGCGTGCAGTTCCAGGAAGGGGTGATTAGCCAGGAGCAGGATGAAGCGCTGACCAACAGAGCCGGTGGCGCCGAGGACACCTGCAACTAGTTAGATCATAGAATAAGTGATATAATCTCGAGGGTTGGAGGACATACCGCACTTCTTCTTGGGGAATGAGGGCGCCATCTTGAACTTTTGCAGATGTATGTAAGAGAAGCAATCTTGATACCAATTAGCTAATGAGGCCTAAATTGTCAACCGGAAATTTATTCCAAGTAAAGCAAAGCAGCAACGCGTCCATATATCAAATAGATCACGGTCAAATCGACCATGAAGATCTTATGAGTCAAGGCTTCGTCCAGTGCCCCGCATGGTGGATAAGGAGCGTTTTGGCCTCAATCGGCCGATTTACCGCATAGACGTTACATGTGGGGTACAATTGACATTCAGAAGAACAAAGAAACAGCCCAACTTACCAGTTTCGCAGTTGACGATGAGGAGTGGCAATTCAACGAGTTCTCCTGCGAACTGCGATATCGCGATGCCCCGCGATGACTCAGCAGCACCGGAGCGGGAAAAACTTTGAGCGGGCGCTGATTGGCTGCTGCGGAGGCTCACCGGAGAATGTCGCCTTCTCCGAAAACACTGAGACTCGATCACTTACTTCTATATCTAATATCAGTGTTCGCGAATCTCGACTGTTTGAGGCATTCAAACCTCAATATCAGATAATACACTACAAAACACAGATCTACGAACTCTCAGAGTCTCTCTCTTCTTGACATTAACTCTTTTGAACCGCTTCTGCGGTCTCCAGGGGAGCTGGGTTTTGTCATGTCTTCGCATCGCAGACAAAACTAAAAGCCGAAGCGGTAGGAAAATCGTCGTCCATAGGATGGACTTACCAAATCACTACTGAAAAGTGCTCAAACCGTCCGACAGCTGACGCAAGTATAAAATTGCCCGTTTGGAAGATCTCCAAGCAATATTCTACCCCGGTGTTCCCCGAGCGTATACAATCATGGCTTGGCAGGGGAGCGCGGTATGTATATCTTCTAAGATTGCACTTTAAAAAGCAAGAAACTTCAAGGACTCCGCGATGACCGCTGCCCTAACGGAATCGTCAAATTTGCCATGTTTATATCCTGGCTTCTCCATAGCCCCGGAATGAAATATACCCTGACATCGGAAGACACTAAACCCTGGGCAGATGCCCGCGGGCCATAGTAACGACAATCCATTGGAGCTGGGAATAGAATAAAGACCCGGTAATTCAAAAAGCAGCCTGGGCATCGGATTGAGCGGGGGAGAAGGAATGGCTAGTGTCCCAGAGTACTTATGGTACGACCGGTGACAAGGCTGTGATAGGTAAGGCCGCCTAAGAAATTTATGCTAAGCTATTCTCAGCCCGGACCAAGTAGGTGGGTTCATTTGATGAATGATCATTGAAGGATACTCGTCCTCGCAAAGTGCGATTGTAGCCCACGACCCACATGGCGCATCCCTCCCGGCAAATGCTATGGGGCTTGATTCATACTAAAACGGAACTAGTATCTATTTCGACTTGCCATCCGAGTTTATGACAACCATTCCTTCCAGGGCGCGCTAGGCATACTGACAAATACTCCGTCTCCTGCTTCTTAACCATGAGCTACTTCAACACTGGAAATCCTGAACTTCATCTAACATCTAAGGCTACTTGGTCCCTACAAGCAATCATTCGAATCGCCTAACATGAGTAACAAAACCTTCGTCTTCTCTCTGGGTGCTTGGGTAGTCCCATCCGTCTTCGATGCTACTAGATCCCATCTGAAATCCCTCGGTTTCTCCTCCGCTTGTCCCGCGCATCCCGCCATTGGTGCCGAACCGCCCTCCATGACACTCGAGGATGATACTGAATCTCTGCGAGGTGTATTGACCGCATATGTGGATGAGGGACGGGATGTCATCGTCGTCGCCCATTCTTACGGCGGCGTGGTTGCTTCTTCCGCCGTTGAAGGACTTACCAAGACTGCTCGGACAGACGCAGGCAAACCCGGGGGTGTCATTAAAGTGATATACCTTGCGGCATTCGCTTTGGATAAGGGACAGAGCTTGCTAGGAATGCTAGGGGGCAACTATTTGCCATGGATGAAGGTTGAGGTAGGCATTTCACTTTTCAATATGCACCTATCATTTTCGGCCTGTATGTCGACTTGAAATAAGAGACCGAAGTTGGCCGGAATTCATTGAGCTCAGGTGAATGAGGGTGGTACTGATAACTAAATAGGGGGGATTATGTTCACGCCGATGGTGCAGGTGATGTCGGCTGGCAAGATATTCCTCACGAGAGCCAAGAGAAGTGGAACTCCCTGACACTTCACACATCTCGTGAAGTATTCTCTGGCGAGTCGACCTTTGAGCCCTGGAGGGATATTCCTTGTTCGTACATTTTGTGTGAGAATGATCGCGCTCTCCCTCCCCCATTCCAGGAATTGTTCGCTTCAAAAGTGGCAGGGCCGGAAAACACTTATCGACTTCCGAGTTCCCACTCGCCATTTTTGAGTATGCCCGATCGTCTGGCAGAGACGCTGAGAAAGGTCGCAGTTTGAAGCTGGGGGCTCACATTGGACAGATGGTGGCGCATTTCAACATTCCATCATTCTGTATTTCAAATCATTATCTGAATTGAAATGTTATATGGGAACACATCTCAGTTGTGAAAAATTGAAGAAATTATTCTGTAAAAGATCCTTTCTCCCTTTTCATCTTTCTCTAGCACTCCAACACACAGCGCATCTCCATATTTCGTCATGGTTGATGGTCGATGATATTTATGGTACTTTTTAGTTGCATCCGACCCGCCAAGTGAAACTAAAACTGTATGATGATTCCATATATTAGCCTTGAAGGTATTTTGACTCTCAAATTAACCATGAATGCCCCTCGTATTTCTCAAGTGCAAGTGCATGGATAGGGGTCAAAAACCTTTCTTCCCTCCCGGATGCTCATGCATGTAATTTGACAAGTCGAAGACTTTGTCGTCAATAATAACCCATAAATCGTGAGGTTTATTATGCGAAGCCACATCGTGAACTGAGTATGTTGGTAGAGGAAACATGCTAAACCTTCCCAAGCCTTGATGATCAGTCGCGTGACAAAGCCACCAGTTTCTTTTTCAAAAATATCTGGATGATGCAGACAAGACATACTCTAAATCATGCGTTTGGCACAACTAGTTGTGCCCTTTATCAAATTGGCGACTCCCACCAAATTTCATACACCCAATATAAACAATGTCACACGAAATCCCATGAGGGCGCTGATCCCTTCGGACCGAGGCACGCGGCCCGTGATGCTTATCCGGGGTATTTCTGGAGTAAAAGTGCCACAGGATTTGCCCTATCCCCGCTTTAGAACGCCCACAGACTATGCTTTCTATGACATAACTCTTGATTTCATCAAATGCCATTTCCCCTCGTTAGTATTGGTTATCGTAATGGTTGATTACCTCGTTTGTGGATCCATGCATCGAAATGTACTTTTGTAAGCCCGTCTGTGCATCATGGCACGAAGAATTCAAAACAGCCACCAGAGCGGGGTTTTGGATGCAGTGACTCGAATGTTATCCTCTTTTTATGTTAAACAACTGCCGCACTGAAAGGTCTCTTGAAACTGCTTCTTCTCCAACTGACCGAGAAATTACTCGTACAGTCCCTAAAGCCGCTATCATCAATGCAGAAATATCGAAAACGAAGAGCTCGAAATGCTTGTACTTGGTGCCACCAGCAACGTGTGCGCTGTGACATATCGCGCACAGGGCCTCCCTGCACAAGATGCTCTCAAGACGGTGAACTTGAAGGCTGTGAGGTTTGGAGCAAGGATTTCCAGTGAGTGTGCTCAAGTAATTAAGAGACAGACAGCTAATAAAAAAATCAGGAAAGAGAGAACCGACAGCAAAAATCGTTTAAAAAAGGCCCGAATCGAAAGCCCAAACTGCAGCATAGCTAGCGACTCAAACGAAGGGGACGGATACTCCACACTGCTGTCAAGATCGATAATACCCCACGAAAATCAAAATGTGACCTACCAAAAAGCCTCTAATGCTGAAAAGCACAAGAGTCTACGTGGCCATATTCCTTTTTCACAGTATTCATTCCTTCAGCTTTCACCGTCAGCCGGCTTGGGGACAGAGGATATGGATTATCTGGCATCCAAAAGGTGCTTCCAGGTCCCTGCACAGCCGGCACTAGATGGATTGGTGCGCATGTATTTTATGCACGTGCATCCATACTCTCCGGTGTTGGACGAAGCAAGCTTCTGGAGAGCATATCGCCGAGGCCCATCAAGTGATGACAGGCCCGTATCGCTCTTTGTATTTCAGGCACTACTATTCGTGTGCTGTACAGTAAGTTACACGGGATATTAGTGAAGCTTGAGTACTAATCGTCAAATAAGTATGTGGATGTAGATGTCGTGACGAAGTGTGGATTTCCAAGCAAACTGGCTGCTAGAAATGAATTCTTTACTCGAGCCAAGGTAATCACGAGTATTAAAATCCAGTTGCAAAGTTCCCATGATAACTAATATTCTCAGTTGTTACTGGACTTGGGTGCTGAAGACCAGGAGCTGGAGACGGCCAGAGGAGCCCTGCTACTTTCATACCAAGCTTCATCCGATAATCCTCAAATCGGAAGCCTCATGCTAGGAACTGCGATAGAAAACTGCACGATCGCAGATAAAACAGCTTCCGCCTCCCCCTTTGCCATGAAAAACACACTCATTAAACGCGTATGGTGGTCAATCGTCCTGCGAGACGGGTTTATCTCGCTTGCATTCCGACGCAATACTCAGATAAACTGGTCGAATCCTAATCTGAAAGCAAAGTTTTTGGATGAGAGCGATCTTGAAGACGAGATAGAGAATTCTGAAGTCTACGACCGAACGATAAAACGATTTCATATCAAGACTTTCGAAAGGCAATGTCAGTTGGCTGTTATAGTCATTGAAATGATGTCTGCATTTTTCCCACAACAATACCGTTGCAGCTACGAATCTATTGATGAGGTCACGGGGGCCATGAAAGAAATACAGGATGTCAAACATGCTTTTTCTTGCTGGGAACAAATAAGCTACGAAGTTCTATACCCAGAAGAGCAACCGTGGCCAGATGCGGCCACAAACTTTACCAATATGACTCGTGCATACTACTTGTTAGTGCTTACCGTTCTTCTAATTAAATTATCTTGCTAATAACAAGAGCTTCAGTACTGCCAAGATTCACCTGATACACTGTGAAGCATTTATCCTGGAATCGAATAGGTCGATTGCCACAGATGAAGTTATTACGCAGACAAGAGACTCGGCGCGGCATCTCAAGCACGCAGTTACTGAAGTACATCGAGTTTTGGCGTACATGAGTAATTCCCAAAACAAGGAGACCATTCCATTGAGCATGTATGCCGCTTTACGCAAAATTACCCTTTCATCTGCAAATACTTATCTTTATGGCGGTAAATAGGCTCGCTCTTATGGCATGGCCTCTAGCTATAGCTGCCATCGATGTTAACCTTGCACGGACAATCGAAGATAATATACAGCGAACGCAGCAGATGAGTTGTCTAGGCGAAATTTATCGGTATCTGACCGGTGTTGCTGATGTCACGAGCTTTGTCACTGCAGGGGCGAAGCAGATCTTACTTCTTGCAAATATGGCAGTGCAGCAACTCCTGACTCGAGGTCAAATGGCAAGCCCATCATCGATACTGGCCAACAAAACTCATGGAATTAACCCCCATCGGTATGAGAGCAGCCCCGGGGGTGATCAGAATAATGATCTGCACGATTGGGTGGACATCTTCAACCAGTATCCCGAAGTCTATCTGTTGATATCCAAATCCACTGACTATGCCCTGTCTTGTGGTCGCTTACCGGATCAAGATAAGTTGCCCGAGTGCCTTCGATCGGCGAATACTTTCAGTGCAATGGACCTCAGGCTACCATGGCTAAATGGCCTCACTTTCGATGAAGGAAGAAGAGCCTCACAATCAATATCATGCGATGCAGTAATAACAGAGCAACGTCGATCATTTCAGGATGCTCTGTCTGAGAAAGTTACACCGATCCCTTTCGAAGGCACATTGGACTTCCATTCAAGGGTGATAGGTGACCAGGGCTTTCAAGCACATGAGAACCCAAGGGAGCTGCATGACACATTTTACGCTATGGAAGAGAGCGTACCGAATGACTTTGCGCTATCAACAGGGCCTGAAACCAGGTATTTCGAATCCATAGACAATATGGGTCATTCCACACGATCACAAAAGAGCAACCTTACCCCCCAGGAAGGTGATTCTCTGGAATTATTGCAAGCATCACTTGCGGACCCGGATTATTGGGATGGATTTGGACAATTGGACTTCCGTGGTGCATATCTTGAACCTGAATTGTGGTCTAGTTTTTGAAAGATGTGGGTCGCAAAAGGGCAGTTGAAGAACAGACTTTTGGCCCTTAGTCGGGTGTCGATGATAGTGCGCATACGTCTAATCAGAAAGATTTCTTTAACGCCAGAACATCTTGCTTTTTGGTAAATGTAACCTTGAAGGTCATAATGTGATCTTCAAGGAATAAATGATCGAGATGCTGGGACAACTGCCTGTCTTCGAATATTCTGCACAATCAAGAGTGAAAGAGCCTGTTCAATCTAAAAAGCTTTTGCGCTCTCAAATATCTCCCCGTGGTAAAAATCATCCTTGGTGTGAATTTTGATAAATCTTGCCATGACCCATACATACTTTCACGGTCGAAGATAAATGCAAAATTGAAAACCTAGCGATTATCTTCCTGTTGCGACTTGAATGGTCAAAGAACATGCGTCGTGTTGAATACTTTTTGACCAGCCGTGTTATCTTTCCTTCCGTGAGATTTCAAGTTTCTCAAGCTTTCTGAGTGCCTGGTATATTTTGGAAACTCCTTGCCATGTGTAATCTGCGCTTTGTCAATACCAGCTGTGAATGGCGAGCAGGAAAAGAATACATACAACAACCAATAACCATCCAGATAAAGTTGAAAAAGAAATAATAAAACCAGAAATAATATCTTTCCGGTCGGCAATACTCAATATCAAGCAGGCTCGTAGCGTAGTAGAGAATGTCACCGTAAACTTGGCCCACTGATATGACAATTTGCAAGGGATACCGCAGAGGGTGTTGCGCGACAATGCAATATGCGATGAAGAATGCCAACGGACCCCAGCAGAACTGAGGAACAAAATTTATTAGCAATGATCCCAAATTGCTTTGAGAAATATGAAATTACCGCAGTCACAGCCTCCATAGAGACCAAGAACGCGTCAGAGGTCAAGTAACGAGAATCCGAAAGAGAGTATTCCTTCCACAACTGGTCGAATAAGCTTTGACCACTAGCCAATGCTGCATGGTTGACAACAAAATGCGCTTCGAAAAATAGATGAATCCATCCCGCTGTAATTTGTTAGACGCATTGCTATCGACCTTGTCAAAGGAGGCGGGTAGTGAGCTTACTTAGACACATCCAAGTAAACGCAACTCGATCCGCCAAACTCGATGCTGGTCGCAGACGAGAAATCAAGAAGACAGCTACCCCCGAAACAGCCACCCAAAAAACCCCGAAGCGAGCAATTAAAGAAATTACTGAGTCCTCGTTCGCGACATAATGAGGCAGATTGATTGAGGGCGGGTAATACCCGTGAGCAATCGGGACGGCGTCCGTCATTGTATAAGGAGTTTAGCCTAAAAGAAGGACTCGGATAGATCAAAAAATCTGAGAACGAATGAGAGTGATTCAAATATAAGCACCTTTTCGACTACTTAAGTATGCACGGAAACGAGCCTATGTTTGCCCTAGACATGCTGCCGGAACCCGCGGGGCCCATGGCAGCCTGCGGAGCTGAGGAAAACCGAGTCAGGCCACAACAGAACAATACTAGTAGTAGACCTGCCCGGTGGGCCATCGAAGCGGGCACGGGTTCGGGTTCAAACTCCAATCCCGCAGCCCAGTGCAGGTCTGATAGTTAAACCCGCTACCTATGCAGGCACCCGCAGCCAAAAGCCAGGGGTAAACCTCAGTATTGCTATATAATTCTTATATATTAGGTAGTAATTAGACCATTGAGTATACTAAAGAAACCGCTACAACTTCATAAATTATGCAATTTGAAGATTGATGCCCATTTAAACGCCTGGGGTCAAAATTGGGTAAAAAGCGGGTTTGTGCGCGGCCACGGGGTGGAGGTGGAAACCCGCGCCACAGGTATACGCAAACCAGGGAGAAAAGGCAAGAATATTTGTGGGTGAGGTGAAGTGTTTTTACTTAAAGAAAAGTAACTTGATAAATTTTGAGCTACCGAGGACCATCTTCCAAGGTTGTATGAGGGCGACGTCTGAATCGAATTTAGCGGCTAGGTACGCCAATACGAGAAATGTGAGTCAGAATGGCTGAGCAAGATACTAGCATTAGAATTAACATATATCTTTGTATATTTTTCCACGAGGCTCTCTTATAATCTACTACTTATTTTATCTTGCCAATTTCACCGAAAAGAAGGAAGAGAGCATAGTAAGGGAAATTCGACTCTACCACAACACATCATCACAGGCCGCACAATGGCAAAAGATCAATCTTCAATTCATGCCTACCGGGCTATACGCGCGTCCTATACGCCCAAAACCATAACTGTCTATCAAGCATATCCCCCAGAAATTTCAAATCCAGCACTTGAAGCACAAAGTTTTAAACCGCCATTCTCCCGAACTAGGATGACGTGGATCAAACCCTCGTTCCTATGGATGGCGTATCGCAGTGGATGGGCAACGAAGCAACGTCAAGAGCGTGTGTTGGCTATCGAAATCGCACGGGAAGGGTTTGAATGGGCACTTCAGAACTCGTGTCTGAGTCATTGGGATGCAAAGAGCGAAAAGACGACCTTGGATAAGGAGCAATGGCAAAAAAAGCTTCATGCAAGTCCCGTTCGCATTCAATGGGATCCAGAGCGTGACTTTGAATTTCGACCCCTGGATTATCGCTCTATTCAAATTGGACTTGGCCCTGAGGCTGTGTCACGATATGTTGATGATTGGATTGTTTCTATTACGGATGTTACGGACCTGATGCACAAAATCAGAGATCACGTCGAGGAAGGGAATCTCGAGGCCGCGGAAAGGCTTTTGCCAGTCGAGGAGGAATATTCATTACCAGCCGAGCTCAAAGAAATTCTGCAAGCCTCAAGCTGATATTTTTTTTTTATTTACAGCCTTGCACTGAAGCCCTCAACAAAGGTTTTGTTAGGTCACACTCATGATCTTGTATGTACATACAAATTGATATCCATGGATGATGATTCACCGCAACCCCGGTGCTCTTGGCACGTTTCAGTCAATAAATCATTCATCCACATCGAATATCTTCCCGGGATTCAACAACCAGCGTGGATCCAGGGAGCGCTTGACACTCCGCATAATTTCGATAGTTTCCTCTCCGACCTCTTTCCGTAGGGAGTCCTTCTTACCCAGACCGATTCCATGCTCGCCCTAAAACGAGTTAGCTTAAGTCTTACTGAGAGAAAAGATACAACCATACCGTGCAAGAGCCCTCCATCTCAAGGGCGCGATCAACCATGTCATATACCACCTTCTCAACCCTTTCTTTCTCTGCTGGATCATTGCGATTATACATGATGCTTGAATGGAAATTCCCATCGCCAATATGACCCAAAATGCTAGCAAAAATACCAAGGTCGTCAAGTTCTTTCTTGGAAATTTCTGTATTGGTAAGCGACGAGGACGCCGAATAATAACCAGATAGACATACCGATAATATCAGGAAGACGAGAGATTGGCACTGCCACATCAGTCGACCACACCTCAGAACCCTCTTTCCGAAGAGCCATCATACTCCAAAGCGACTGCTTACGCGCAGACCAAAGGTCATGAGCTTCTCTCTCGTCCTTGGCAAACTGGAACCCTTGCGCGTGGTTATTCTGAGCCAGTTCCCTTGTCAAGTTGATACTATCCTCGACCCCAGCCGCGGTCCCTGAAAATTTGAAGAACAAAGTTGGGGAGACACTCCATGTACGACCCGTTCCACCAGCACGGTTAATAACATCCATCTGAACATCATCCAAGATTTCCATACACTGCACCTGAATACCTCTCCAAATCAATTGTTGCGCCGTCGACGCGCAGTCACGAATTGTCGAGAATGCCACTACTCCAACACGAGTTTGTTCAGGGATAGGCGCCAATTTGAGAGTCGCCTCCGTGACTATTCCCAATGTACCCTCCGAAACCAACAAGTAAGCCGGTAAGATTGTATCCGGCCGAAGTCTTGCGAGGGCGCCGCCGAGTTTTGATTACTCGACCATCAGCCAAGACAACGGTGAGATTGATGACCCAGTCTTTCATCGTACCGTATCGCACGGCATTCGTTCCACTGCAGTTTGTACCGATCATGCCGCCAATCATAGCCGAAGGACCGGGGTCAACGGGAAAAAATAGACCAGTTCCCTTAATTTGTTCGTTCAGATCCATCCAGCCGATCGACGGCTGAACCACAATGTCCATATCATCTTCGTGAATATCGAGAATCTTGTTCATCATTGCGAAATCAATCGTCATGCCGCCGTACGGGGCGGAGAAATTGGCTTCAAGGCTGGACCCGCCAGAGAAGGGGATCATGGGCATGCGGTATTTGTGGCAGACCTTGACGATTTCCACGACGTCTTCGGTTGTTTCGGGGTAGGCGATGGCGGATGGGAGGCGGTCTGCGTTCAGGCTAGACCACTCGGAATAACCGTGTCGATGGAGGTCATCGTCGTCGGTGGAGATGGTGTCTTCGCCCAGCTTGGCTCGTAGCTCGGTTATAGCCTGCGATTGTCAAATTTGTATTGAGGCATAGCTTCCCGAAAAATGCTACGCACCTTTTCGAAATCTTTGACCGAGCCATACTGAGGCTTTGCAGTAATTTGAGGAGTCTGGCCGTAGGAAGCATAGCCGTATCCCAGCCCAGCAGCAAATGTGGCAATTGCAAGGGCCCGAAGTGGTGTCCAGGAGGACGAATTGGGCGATGACTGAGGCCTAGAGTTTGTAGATTCTTGCTTCTGCTGTTCTTTGCCTGCACCAGTGCTTGAACTGTTCAATCGAATGGCTGTGGTTCTGGTGGCCCAGCCGGATTGGGGAACACGGGGAATGCGGGAGTGGAGAACCCCCGGAGAAGACGGGGAGCTCTCATAGTGATGGGGGTTAGAGGTTAGGGGTTAGAGGTATCGACAACGAAGGAAGAGGGAGGTTTTGAAAGGAAGTTTAGACTCGGAGAGACCCAAAATATTCCGAATTGCTAGACTCAGAAGTGCCGTCACGCTATTCCGGTAGTCCGGGGCAAAGACAGGGCGAGGCGATTTCCCCCGCTCGACTCGGACTTCGCTGAGAAGGAACAATTCCGCTAGCGTGGGGGTATGGGGGTACCTCCAGGGCTAATGGTGGATGGGGGTATTGGGTGTAGTTGATGGAGTGCCGCGAGTATTTAGCATGAGTCTGATTACGCTATTGATAGGACTTGCTCTTCCTAGAGATTTTCATCAACATCGACCAGGCCGATCAGGTATGTATTAACTCCTAGTATGTACAGATAGCAGCTGGATCTCTTCATCCCAGAACAGAATTATTAGCATGAAGACACTAAATTTCACATGCACTCATTGCGGTGCCGACTTATCATCTGACCCCGAGAAGGCTGTACTAGTGAAAATAAAGTCCCGTGAAAACTCCAAATCCATATCCAAATCCATATCCAAATCCAAATCCTGAAGACAATTATCCTCGAAATGATCGGTCGGCCCAGCCGGAGGCTGATTCTGCTTTGAATTATTGGCAGCTGGAGACTTGGTCGGGCTGTTAAGATCAGCTTCGCCCAGCGGTTTGCGGGTCAAACGTCTTGCAGACTCTGAAATATGGGGGCTCGACTTTGACATCGGAAAACCTTGTGTTCGGGGCTGAGGCTGCGATGGATGCGAAAGGCGGTTTCCCCGGGCTCGTTTAGGAGTGCGTTCGTTAAAATTAGAAGCCATGGACTCGAATGATTCTACCAATTGTGAATCTTCGTCGTTGTATGTATCGAGGTGGCGTGCTGCTGGTTTAGATTGCTTCGCACTCCTTGGTTGTTGGGGTTTGGGCTCTGCAGGCTGTGCAGGCTGTGCAGAAAACCCCATGACTCCCATTAAACGGCCAATATGTTGCTGGGCCTCGGAGAATTCTCTGGCCTTGGCTTCTCGTTCATCCCGCATGGATTGAACCTATATGATAGATCAGCACAAGCCCAATTTCTTGAATGGTTCTGAGCGTTGCGGAAAAGAGGGCGTCATGTCACACACCTTCTTCTCCAGCTGTACCATGCGCTTGTCCTTTGCCTGTATCTTCTTTGTGGCTTCGCTCGCGCCATCTTGCACCTCGCGATGCAGACGTTTGTTTTCCTCTTTCAGCTTTGTTACCTGCCATGTCTCTGTTAGAAGAAAATCGAGAGTGAAATAGTTCTTGCGTGACAAACCTCTGCTTTGTTATTGGAGATTTGGACCTCGTGCCTTTGTCTCATTGCCTCCCTCTCCAACCTTGATGTTTCTTCGGCTTGTTGTAGCGAGTCATGCAGCCTCTCGGCTTCCTGGCTCTGTTCTACCATCTGCAGGTACCAGCTGTTAGCTCAACAAATATACTCGTAGGCCAGTGCAGACTAACCATGGACTTCATATTCTCCGTCTCCATCTGAAGTTCTCCGTTCGCCGATAAGAGACGTTGAATTTCTCCCTCCTTTTCGGAACATAGAGTCCTTTGTTGCTCTAAGGCCTGATTGCGCTCTTCGATATCACGTTGTAAGAATGCGACTGTTTCCGAAGAAGATGCCTTTTCTTGCACTCCGACATCCAGTGACCGTCGCATTTTTTCATTCTCAGATTGAACACGGTGCAGCCTCTCCTGTAGTTCTTCTAGCTGATCATCTTTCTCTGTGGAGGTAGCGATTAAATCAAGTTCCCGTGATCGAGCCCTGTCTTTTTCCAAGTGAAGGCTCTCTTCAGAATGAAGTATTTGTTCTTGGAGTTTGTCGTGTGCGGAGTTGAGTGAGGCAGACAACTCTTCCACGCGATTGCATGCGCTTTCAGCTTGCTCCTCCAGACGAGCCATCTCTTGGTGAATATCGGACATCGCCTGTGCAGATTGTCTATTAACATGTTCGAGGTTGTCATTTTCGCGCCGAAGTTGCTCCGCTTCGAGCATATGTTTGTTCCGATCTTCCTCGGCGGAGCGGAGGGGACCTTCGATATCATAGCAGCGTCGCTCCATATCAAAACAAATATCCTCCACCTTTTGGACCATAGAATCATTCGCCACTTTGGAATTCTGCATGAAGGTATCCGTGATTTGAGATCGCCAATCCCGATTCGGATGCTGCAGTGATGAGAATTCCCGGCGGTCGCGGAGGAGAAGAGAGCTTCGAAAGTTGCTTGGCTCGGCATTAGCAAAAGAACACTTTTCGATCGACATTGGCACGCGTCCAACAAAGGACTTGATAATATCAATGTCTCTTGCGTTCCCGTTCTGGGACAATGCGGCCGCAAAGTACATCTCAAACAGGTTTCGCAGGATATGATTCTGCAATGAAGTGTAGGCACAGTAACATATCTCTGAACCCTCGCACTGTACCTTGCTGGTTTGGGACGGGAATTGACCGAAAAGACTTGCGATGGTCTCTTTTGTAGACGTCGAGCTTAACAAGGACGATATAACTTGCTGGGACTCGGCTTGCTCGGACTCGGCTTGCTGGAAGCTCGAAAGCAATAAGTTTGCGACGTGCAGATTGGACAAGGAGCCACGATTCATGTTGTTGTCTTTTACGGCATCGACAGTGAATCGAAGTAACTCATAAACAAAGGACTCATCGCAAGCCTATCCATGTTAGCTAGATCTTGTGGAAACAAAATAACCATACTTACAGCCAGGGACTGTGTTAGACGGATCACTAGATGAGACTCCATAGCGGTTAAAGCCACTCGACTGTCTGTAGAAATAAGAAGTCGTAGCCCCAGATTGCGAATTTGAGGGGGAAAGTTTTCAACCGGGCATATGGACAACAAAAAGGTCAAGCCCTGCAATCAATATTTTAGTGTCAAGTCAGGCAAGGTATAGACACGGTTCAAGGGTGCATACCATAAGCTGAACCTCGCGATCCAGCCCATCTCGGACCACTTTATCACACAGCTTAGCGACTTTCGAAGAGCCACTCGCCACCCAGGAATTCTTCTGGCTAGTGTCAATATTATCAACGATGGATATGGCGAGGCGGATGCTCTGTGCGGCTTGAGATGGAGTGAGAGGGCTGCTACTTGAAGAGCAGGCCAAAATGACTCGCAAGACAACCAAGTCCAAGGTTTTCTGCCCGCGTTTGGGGCCAAAGAAATGTTGAATATTTAAAAGCCAGGTCGGTGGCTCTGATCCGTGTTTTTTTGAGGGGCGTTGGTGTTCTGACTGGGTCGACGCGATGCGGGCAAATGTAGCGAGGCTCATGAGGATGCCCATATGGTCTTCCATGTTGCGGAGGGTTTTGGTAAATTCAAGCTGCAGATTGACCATTGTTTCTTCGGGGATCTCATTGAAAAGACCAGGAGAGCCATTCAAAGTGCCCATTATCATGTGCAAAGGAGCCACGGTCTCTGCGCAAGGGTTACCCGCCATGACTGAAACCAACTTCGTGATGAAGCCGTGAAGACGACCGGGGGAACCATGGCAGATGGAAGAGGCGATGAGAGCAGAGCAACGCATGCTGCAGTATACTATTAGGGTCAGCTTGTCGTTCCCAAGGACTAGGTCGATATCACCCACGTCCGACTCCTCAGAATCCACGGCTTTCTCCAGGAAAGTGTCCAATGCAGCCGGGTGACGACTCAGTAGTGTATCTCGAAAGCAAGTGGTCATAGCTATTGCAGGTTAACTCCAGCCGCCGATATGTATTTTCCCCAGATCATAAAGCTCACCAAATGTGGAGAGTAATGGTAAAGCAACTCGCGATCGTGACAAGCTTTCCACCAGGACATCCGCTAACAGACCCACTTGGCATGGTTTTTGCAGGGTCCATATCTTGATATTTGATGAATCCAGATTTTGTGCCAGACTATATAGATCCTGGTCTCAGTGTTAGTCTCCAATCTGTGACAGCAAAACGCTGCTATGACGTACCTGGAGTGAAGGCACATAAGGTGCGGTTATGACGCGCTCAATCTCGCGAACAAGTCGCGTGAGACCCTCGACCATGGCGATAAATGTGCTACCTGGTAGGTTTAGTGGTCACTTAGAGATGAGATGATCCCTTACTCCCTCAGGTGGTTGAGGAGAAGCAATCCGAAGTGTGTACGATCGGCGATTGTTGCCCCCGCAACCAGGCGGTCACTGGGCGGAACCACTCACAGCCCGCTATCCGATCTATATCTTTTTGCAATTCTATCATGTACAAAAGGTAAGGCAGTCTATGGTAAAGCCAAGATACATTAGAGTAATTCAATCGCACTACACCAAGAGTTAATTCAATTTAATCCTAGAGTATCAACACGCATTACTCCTGGGCACTGCCTGTACACTCACCTACTAGCAACTCCTGTTTTGCATGGTATTCCAGGGTTTGTGCATGATATCGTTTGCTAGCTCCCTTTCAATCGGGTATCAACCTTAGAGGCCATTCCGTTCATCCCTATCTTTTTTTTTGAAAAAAAAATAGGTGGAAAGCCTAGAGGGTACTCATAGAGGGTAGTACTCATAATACCTCCAAACAAACGACTGCCTTGACAATTGATATAGAGGAAACAATGTGATTGGCCGACTGACCCCTCCCCCAGTCGCCTTTGCACCTTTGCACCTTCTTCTTCTTCTCCTTCCATCACCCACTCGATGCCTTTCTTCAACTTTTCATGATCTGGAGAATCTAGTTAGGCCTTCTCTTGCTGGAATCACTCACCTTCCACTCACTTGGTGGCCGGACTTGCTCTTGGAAATATTTGCACCTGCCTGCCTGCCTGGCCCGCCAATACCAAAGAGCCTGACAGTATCACCATAAGTAGAGCTAGCTCAGCTAGCTCCATCTTTCCTTTCTTTCCTTTCCTCCTCTCCAATAACAGGTGTCTGAACCATGGCAAACCAGACAGAACTCGTCCAGAGGGTGCCTATGATGTCCTTTCCGCTAGATATTCCGACATGGCGAAGCTGGGAATCGCTGGCTATCAACGTGTTCAACATTCCCGAAGGCACAAACACATTTGTCCTCTGGGACTCCTTCAAAAAGGAAGGCAATATTACCAGTGTCGACATCTTTGACCAGAGGACGGGCGATCGTCACAGCAAGGGCCGCGTCCGCTTCAGGTACATATCCATTACTACTTATATCGCTGATCTGTATGTGATGGGATTACACTGATTTCAAATTATTACAGACCCCCCTCCCTCATCCGAATTCTGGGCCATGGGCACATACGTTATCAAGCTCCGGAACAGAACAGAGGTAACTGTTCGTGTCGAACTGAAGACCGGTGATCAAGAAGGTCTCATGGACAGTCCCGTGCGCCCTGGAGTAAGATATCCTTCATTTATGGTAAGCAGACTCGATTGAAAAGTAGTTATTATTGCTTCGCTAAATTAATCACTGATTTTAGGATTTTTCTGTCGTGAAACTCGATGTATGCGTCTTGAATGGAGAAAAGACCTTTCACGTCATGCACGCTTTCAAAGGCTCACTAAGAGGATCCCTCGACATCCGCCGACGAGAACTTTCTATCAATTTCACTACCAACATTCGGGATAGCAGAAGCCTCCGCAACCCTTCTCTGTATTCGGAAGAAAATGAAAGTCTCTTCCGTTTGAGAGTGAAATTTATCCAGCTGGACAAGCTCTGGGCATCCCATGATCCCCAGTCCAAGGATATCTCTCTCCTCGCTATTTTAGAGCACCCAGCACTCTATTTCCGTCGGCTAAAGAATCTGGAGCCTACCTTTCAATCCGACACAAATTGGAAAGAAATTGATGCGTGGCCCCGGCAGACTGCTCTGGTGCACAATCCTGAAGCACTAGTTAACCAGACACTCATTACCAATCTTTATCGCTCTGGTCAAATTGTCGATATCGGTGAGTACTTTCAACCTCTCGTATAAGTGACCAATTCTTAATTTCCTTGTTTTAGGTCGGTGGAATGTCTTCCGGATTACCTTGTCGCCCGAGGCAGTTGAAAATGGTGCTTTCACGCTCTTACACGATATCCTAGGTGATCATAATGTTCCTGTACAGAATGATTGCCCCTTCAAAGAGAGTTTTCGGAGACCGAAACTTGTCTGGGACTGGATCAACCACTCACCTGCCCAGAACCCCTCATCACCACGCTCTACACTCGGCGACCTAGCAGATCGGGAATACGTTCCTTTGGACTTCCCTGTCCGTTATCAGTTAGAAGTTTGCATCTCAAATGGATGGCTTTCGGGATTTTGCATGACTCGGGAATTTGTCCTCGAATTACGGGATCTCGGAGAAAAGAACGCCAGAAGACTGTTAGAGCATGTCGACACGGAAAAAACCACTTACCTGAATCCCATGAAGATTTTCGACATCAAGGTCTACAAGGCAGTCAGTGATGCAAAGATCCCTTCTTACTGTTCCTTCATGCGAAGTGCCCAAGTCACTCCAACGACGATCTACTACAACACTCCCACGGTTGACACGTCAAATCGGATCATTCGCCGCTACATTGAACACGTAGATCACTTTCTCCGTGTTCGATTCACGGACGAGAAGAGCGTAGGTAGAATATTTTCTACCGTGGGGGATTCCCAGGATGAGATTTACACCCGAGTCAAGAGAACCATGGCGAACGGAATCACGGTCGGTGATCGTCATTATGAATTTCTCGCATTCAGCAACTCTCAATTCCGAGATCACGGCGCGTACTTCTTCGCCCCCACTCTCCATCTGACTGCAGCCCATATTCGGGCTTGGATGGGAAAGCTCAGCCATATCAGGAATATAGCAAAGTATGCTGCAAGGTTGGGTCAGAGCTTCTCTACCACTCGTGCATTTGGGGGCTGCAAAGCCGATATCCGACAAATCGAAGACATTACCCGGAATGGCCGCGTATTCTCCGACGGCGTAGGCAAAATATCCAAGTTCTTGGTCTCTATGGTTGCCGAGGAGCTGAATCTCAAGACCCCTGATGGTGAACTGCCCTCTGCCTTTCAATTCCGACTTGGTGGGTGCAAAGGCCTGCTTGTTGTTTCTTCAGATCCTGGTCACTCTGAGGTTCATATTCGTCCGAGCCAACTGAAATTCGAAAGCCCTCATGTCAAGTTGGAAATCATCCGCTCTTCACGGCCTTCGGTCGCAACACTAAATCGACAACTCATTCTTGTGCTTGCCTCCCGAGGGATTCCCGACAGAGCGTTCCACAAAAAGCTCAAGCAGCATCTTGAAATATTTGAAGAGGCCATGGTGAACGATGAAAAAGCTACTGGTATGCTTCGGAAATACATCGATCCCGAACAGATGACTCTCTGCCTCGCCAAGATGATCGACTGCGGCTTCAGGCGAACAGAGGAGCCGTTTGTCTATTCGATGCTGGCTCTATGGAAGACCTGGCATCTCAAGCATCTCAAAGAGAAAGCCAAGATTGTGATTGAAAAAGGTACGTGTGTGTTTGGCTGTATTGATGAGACTGGTATCCTCAATGGTTACTTTCGTGGCAGGCCATTAGACAAAGAAGCTTCACTGCCACAAATCTTTATCCAGGTCTCTCAGCCCGAAAGAAGAGGTTGGTCTCGGAACGTCATCACGGGGCTCTGCATCGTCGCCCGAAACCCTTCACTTCACCCAGGGGACATTCGAGTTGTTTTGGCGGTAGACGTGCCAGAGCTGAGACATCTGCGAGATGTTGTCGTATTCCCACAGACTGGTGATCTAGACGTTCCCGGCATGTGTTCCGGCGGGGACTTGGACGGGGATGACTATGTCGTTATCTGGGACCAGGACTTGATTCCATCCAAGCGGAGTTGGTTTGAACCTCCAATGCAACAAACCCCGAAGAAAGCCCCAGATCTTGATCGTGACGTGACAGTGGATGAAGTGAGCTCATTTTTTGTCACGTACATGAAAAACAACATCCTACCATCGATAGCGAGAGCTCATTTAGCATGGGCTGATCAGCTTCCCGATGGGATTCGTGATGATAAATGCATTCGTCTGGCTCGACTTCACTCCGATGCCGTCGATTACAACAAAACAGGAGGCGCTGCAGTGATGACCCGTGATCTTGTTCCCTCAAGGTGGCCGCACTTCATGGAGAGGAGGGGGGCCCTTCCAAAAAAGGATTACCACTCTAAGAAGATCCTGGGCCAGCTCTACGATGCCGTCGAGCATGTCAACTTCGTTCCTCATCTCACCATGCCATTTGACTCTCGGATTCTAGAATGCAAGCCCGAGCTGAAAGAGTTGAGCGAAGATCTTCTAGACTATGCAAGAAGTTTGAAGGGAGACTATGACGCGGCAGTGCGCCGGGTAATGGCTCAATACGAGATCCCAACTGAATTTGAAGTGTGGTCTTCCTGGATCCTTAGCCACAATTGCTCGGCGAACAACTACAATATCTCCGAGAAGGTCGGTGGACTCGCAGAACATCTTCGAAGTGGTTTCCGCCAGCACTGTTATGAAAAAATGGGTGGTCGTTTTCTCGAGGCGCTTGCACCATTAGTAGTGGCGATGTACCGCGTCACTCATGAAGACCTCCTGACTACTCAAGAAGTCGTCAAGTACGATGACGAGTCCGATTACGAGGAATCTGATCACATGGACTCCACCGCGGCCAAGACTTCTCTCATCAGCTTCCCTTGGATGTTCTCCGAGTATCTAGGCAAAATTGCCCAGGGACATTATGATCTTGACGCCATCACGAAGCTCGCAGCCACTAAAGGAAGCCGTCCTAAGGGGAAGGTTTATACGCAAGCAGAGGTGATGCGGCTTACAGCTGATTTCACTATTGAGGGGGGGTCGGGAAGGCCGAAGGTCGAAATCCCCGAGAGCGAGAATGATATTGTCGAAAATGATATTCTCGAAAATGATATTCTCGAAGAGATATTCGAAGACAAAGCCACTGCGAATTTATCGGCTCTAGACAAACTGATCGATATGATAGGAGAGTGATGGGATGTTCGGCTTGTTCCCTTTCTTCCCTTCACCTGTTGCATTTGATTCTCGCATTTGAGAAGTTTTTTTTATGTAGTGCATGATTAGAAAGTATACTTTGTTGTTTATTCTTTTTTCAAGATTTAGTTACATTCAAGCTTCACATATCGCCAGCCACATTTCCAGTATAGGGTATTTCCAACGCCATAACGTGATACAACAAAAAGTTCCAAAAGACCAAGACCAATATAGCATGAGAGAATCTTCCAAAGTCATTCAAGGAAAACTAAATCACCAATCCAGCCCCTCGTCCCCCTTTTCTCTCTAATAACTCAGCAACAGGTCCCAAGATTCCTCTTGTATGACTCAAGCGAGCCACATCTCGAGTACGAGAGTAGAAAACCGGACAGTCAATGCTGTTGCACGCAATTGTATCACCGCAAGGAACGCCCATGCAAGACCGACAAACAGCCTCAAGATCAACGACCCGTTTCTCAGCACGCTGTAATCGCGAAACGACATCCAGAAGTGAGATATGCGGACGAGAAAGACAATCTGCGCAAAGCGGTACAGCGGCATCTAACAACTTTTCCCGACAGATAATGCACGACGAAGAGCGCATATACGATTCAAGGGTCTTTTTCATCGCACCGGATTGCATACCCGGTCGTGAGACAGTCGAGGCCGTATTATCCACGCGCCGAATACGCCGGACTTTAGGCATTTCGTCGTACCATTGCCGAACATTTGCCCCGACGAGGTTGAAGATGCGTTCTAGGGGTGGAATGAGGTTCTTGGTAATGTAGTAATCCGTATCAAGTTCAAGCTGTGCATCGTGTAAGAGCGTCTCAGGCGCAACACAGCGGTCAATGAGTCTAGACCCAGGTGCGCCGGTGACAACGACATATGGCACGCGCTCACCATACTGCGGCTCCAAGCGCGGATCCTCGAGCATGCGCTTCGTGCTAATCATTGCGCCGGCGGGCATTGTGCCACGTTCACTATACGTGCCCAATTTAACTTCGCGGGCGAAACAGAAATCCTGTATCGAGACACGGCCTTGCATGATTTTACTGCATTGGCGCTGGAAGTAGGACTTTACTTGGCTGAGGTCTGCAGTTCGGAAGAGGAGTTTCAAGGCCTTTTCTTCGATCTTTTGTTCGGCGGGAGTGCCGTCTCTGCGGACGGTTTCGATGCCCTTGGCGTCGAATTCAGGCTCGGTTTGGGTGCGATGCTCGTATTTGAACCCGACGTAGCGTTTCTTGGCTAGTAGTACGCACGGGTGGTACACCTTTTCGAATTTGAGCTTCACGGGTCGAGGGTTCATTTCGGTGACTGCCTGTGCAATTTCCTCGCCGATATCAAAGGCTTGGTCACGAGTTCGACCTTTGAGGTACACGAAAAGACTATCTGTGTCGCCGTAGACGACCTCGGCGCCCCATCGTTCGATTGAGTGAATGAAGGCGATGGCTTTCTCCAGTGTTTCCCGTCCTGACTGCACGATGCTGTCTGCAATCTCGGAGCAGGGCATTCGGCCGGAGTACGAGGCGGAGGTGTATCCGTATGTGACGTTCGCAATCAACTTGAGAGCCAGCTGCCGATTGTTGAGAAGACGTTGCAAAATTTTGTCGTCTTTATCAGTCTTCATACCAGTCTTCACCATCACGCGGGTTTCGAGGATTTCCGTAAGCATTTTAGCTAAGAGTGACTTTCGCACTTCCTGCTTTGCGTACATCATTCCGTTTTGGAGCAATGTTGATCTTGTCTTTCAAAAGCTCGAGAAGACGGGGTTGTCGCTTGTAATCCAAGAATCCCATCTTATCCCGACCACGCCAAGATGCTGCTCTCCCCAAGAATGTCGAGTAACAATAGTTGTAGGCAATCATGATGCTAGGGTAGAGTGACTGAAAATCGAGAACCAAGAGCGGGCTGGTGTAGAAGTCGCTCTGTGGCTCCATGACTAACGGCAGGCATTCAAGCGCATTCTGCTGTCCCACTTGCTGTTTGCTTGGAGATACAAGCAGAAAGTTCTCCGGCTTGGCAATTCGAAACATTAAGGACTCAACTTTGAACTGAGAGCCGCGAGAGAAGACCGAGTAAAAGTCAATGCCCAGTAGCCTAGCTTGTTCACTGAGTCGAGGAATAAGCTCATTGGCTTCGAGAATCTCCAAGTTCATTTGCACCCGGGAGGTGAAATAGTCCACAAGTTTGTAGACCTGGCGAGGCTGTCCGCTTTGGTACCATTGAGTAAGATCCCGATGAGAGTAGTGCGGAATCCGGCGGTGCAGTAGGTGAAACACAACGTTCTCCATGGTGTACTGCAACAGGTTCATCTCGCCTTTCATGGCACGCCATATATTAATCATGTGACGGCCGGTCATTTGGATAGAGGAAGCATGTTCAAAACCCCAGCGGTCCTCCTCTCTCCCGAACTTTCCGTTGGCTTGCGACTTGACCCTAGACAGCTCCTCGCAGAGGTCAAAATCGTACTTTTTGCGCGCGCGTTCGATCACATAACCCCAAGAACCGTTGTGTACTTCATAGCCTGTGATGATGTCAGGGTCAAGATGACGAACGATATCAACCAATCTGTTGATCATATCCAGCTCTGTTGGCTCGTGCTCAATTTCGACCCGTAACGTTTTAGAGATCTTAGCTACAGGGGGCTCCCCTTCGCCTTGATAGATCATACCAACATGGACGCCAGGAATGTGACTGTTAACCTCGATCTCATCATCCTCAGACTGTATACACCAAAATATGCAGGAAAGCTCATCCTCTTCGGGGTTGGGGGAGAGCTCCGCGGGTGCTTACATGAACTTCCAAGCTCATGGTGCTCATATACTGCGCCTGGTGCTCCACGCTTGTCTTTGCTTTCTGAGAATTTTTGAATTCCATAGGTTTTTGGGTGGGCCCTTCGATCTGCGACAAGGCATCCACCTTTGTCTCAATCTTCGAAGGGGCCGGCTTTTCGGGTGCGGAATTTTTCATGGTATTCGCTTGGGTGCTTTCGATCCATTCGATGACTTCAGAGCGGCTGGGGGGTACTGCTGCAAATTCCCAGACTCTAGCAGTGCAAGACTCTCGCATCTGCTGGTCAACTTTTTGTTGATTCTCACGGTCAAAGGGAACTGTGCATTGCTCTCCAAAAATCGCAGGTAAGTCTCCCAATGGATCAAACTCGGGGAGAAAATGTATTGTGTCGCTTTCAAGTCGAAATTCCCGGCCGGCATATTCTCGTGGTCTTTCAGGAACATCTACTTCCTCAGAATAGTATGCTTTCTGATAGACAACAGATGGTCTACCATAGTCATTCATAGTTTTGGGGACCTCGGTCGAGCTTGGGCCCGCAAACCTGAAAACGGCCAGAGTACTATCGGGCGAAAATTTAAATGATTTTCTGAGATTTTCTGTCAGTTCTGCAATATGCGGATCGAGTATGGCTGCCTCCACGATTGTCGAAGAGGATGGGAGAGCTGAAGAACCGCGAAGCGCGCTAGCTTGTCCCGATGCACTTGTAGCTGATCCCGAGGGGAAAGGGTTTGATATTTGCTGAGACAGTCCATGCTCCTTCTTTGAATGTTGTGAGTCGTCTTGACTAAAACGTAAGATGGTCAAGGGATCATTGGGATCCTTGACGACTGGAAAATTCAACCTGCTGTCTGGAATATGTTGCTTCGCCCGGATAGTCTTCTGTGATGACGACGACTTGGGGTCTGACCCGGGAGGCTCAATTTGTAGACATAAATTCTTGGGCAGAGGTTGTCTATCTCCTCCCTCTCCTGTTCCTCTAGAGATGCCTGAGTCGTGTGGGCCAGAGTCATGTTCCACAAAGAACCTCGGCTTTTTGAAGGATGGTTTATAGATACCAGAGCCGTCATCGAGAGAGTGCTTGAGGGATAGGCCTCCTCGGTTGTATTCCTTCAAATCGCCTGCAGATTCAACATCTGGCCTGGGTAACTCGCTGTCTTGTCTGTCATCCGATTCCATATCCAAAGGATCCATCTCACCAGACAGCCGGAAGGGTAGATTAGATGATAATTCATCAAAAACACCGTCATAGAAACTCTCATCAGCCATGTTGTTCACAACTGTAGTGTTTTCTGCACCGTGAGTGTCCTCTAGTGCTCCATCTGGATGATCGGGATCGAAAAGAAAGCTGTCGTCAGGCTGAGAGGATAATGCAAGGCTTTCATCAACAGAAACCTTTACTGCATCGTCGGGTACCTGCGGTTGGTTTTCTATTGTAAAACTGTCGATCTTGTCCGGATAAAAGTCTTCAACACTGCTCAATGAGGTCTTGACATTCTTCTCATATTGGTTTGGGTCCAAAAAGTCTTCAAGCGAGGTGTCCTTCTCCTCGGCGTCCTCCTTTTCTGCCAAAGCAATTTGCCGAGCCATCTCATGAAATTCATCTTCGTGAACCCAGCCAGCTCTGGTCTGGTCCCTTGAATTAGCAGACATCGAGATCAGCTCCTCCGGAGCGAACGGCGTATTTCCAGGGTCAACGATTCCCATTCTTTTCTTGCGCCGCCTTGTCTCATCTTCCCATAAAATAGCCACACTTGGGACTAAGCGCTCATTTATGATGGCCGGCCGGAGCATTTCCATGAAGTCGTGGTGAAGAGGGCGCTCCTTGACATGAGATCGATTCAAGATGTCTTGGACACAAATATCTACCTCCAGCGCACAGTGGCTTTGCTTCTGGAGGGCTGGCCCATCGAGTATACTTTCTGGGTCGATCGTTCGATCATGCCATCGGTGGGTCAAGTTATTCATTTCCAGATACTCTGGCACCGGTGACCGAAATCTGACCATTCTGCAGTCCATGTAACTGCAGCCGGACAAATTATAATCGCACATCCATTGAGGAACGTACCCCAGGTGACTCTCGTAGGGTTGTAGTGGCCGCTTCATGACAGCTCCCTGGTGCAGAAGATCGGCAAGGCGGCCTTTGTAAGTTGGGTTGAGGAGGTAAATTTTAAGAAAGAATCGGTATCCGACATGGTAGCCATAGAAGGGGGTTCCTTTAACCAAGGTGATGTGTGCCACGAAAGCAGTCTTCCTGTCGTAGGCATTTCGGCGAAAACTGACAGCCAAGGCATGATCTATGGAGAGATGCAGTGTCCTGATAGCCGCGCTTACTATAATTTCAAATTAGCTGGCTACCCCAGGTGTTCTCTAACGGGCGTCCATGTACATACCCGCATCGGGCGCCAAGGACCCATTGTATTCGATGTAGAGATATGGAAATGCTCCATGAACATGTACACAGACCCGTTGACCTGTTTCGGTGGCTCCAAAGACTCTGATGACAGGCACCCTAGGCCTGTAATCTTTCTCAAAGACGCCATCCCGAATAGGCAGTGGAGGATCCAGCTCCGACGCGATCGCCTGATAATGGTCGATGCAGTTGAGGCGCACGCGAAAGGGCTCCATCAGGCTGGGTAGGCTCAACCATGAGCCTAGGTGTCATCGCGCTGAGTTTCCGCTGGAGCATTTCATTGAGGAAAGGTCAAAATTCCGCCAGGTTAATCAAGTCAACGCGCGCCGGTTGCTAGTGGATCAAGGCATGCGGCGCGTGCATTGCATCGGTGGAACGCCAAATCACGTGAGATTCGATCGATCTTGGCGGCCCAGCCACTTTTTCGACCTCGCCTCATCTTCCCCGGAATCCAGACTCATCCTTGGGATTTCTCGCGACATAACAATTCTCCATCGAAACTATACACCTGCTACCTCTGGGTAGCAACTCAACCCATCATGTCCCGCAAACCCGCCGACGTGGCGTCAAAGCAACCCAACGAATACATCCCGTCCTTTATCTCGAAGAAGCCGTTCTACGTTGAAGATGACGACGAGGGCAACGATTATCTGGAGCATCAGCGTTTGCATAAAACAACCCAAGACCAGTCAAAATGGTATGATCGGGGAAAGCGCTCTGGTCCGGCTGCGACCAAGTACCGAAAAGGCGCATGCGAAAACTGCGGCGCTATGACACACAAAACCAAGGAATGCCTTAGTCGCCCAGGAAACAAGGTGCCAAGTGGACTGGCAAGAACATTGAAGCGGACGAGGTTCTTCAGAAGGTCGACATGGGGTGGGATGCCAAACGAGACCGATGGAACGGCTACGACGCCAGTGAATACCGCCAAGTCGTCGACGAATACGAAGAATTGGAGTCTATTAAACGGGCCGCCAAGGAGGGTGCCGATCTTCAAAAGCTCATGGATGCTGAAGATGGCGAGGGTGCTCTGGAGGAGGATATTCGCTATGCTGAAGAATCCGATATGGGTCGTCAACAAAGTACAGCCACGCGAAACCTCCGCATTCGTGAAGATACCGCCAAATATCTCCTCAATCTCGATCTCGATTCTGCAAAGTACGACCCGAAGACACGACGAATGGTAGACATGGGCGCACAGGAAGATCAGGCTTCCGCACTGGTTGCGGAAGAGAACTTTGTTCGTGCCTCCGGAGACGCTGCCGAATTTGAAAAGGCCCAGCAGTACGCCTGGGAATCACAAGAGAAAGGAATGGCTCAGATCCACTTGCAAGCCAACCCCACCTCGGGTGAAGTGTTACGGAAGAAGGAAAAGGAAGATACTGAGAGCAAACGTGAGACTCAGCGCAAGGCCCTCTTGGAGAAGTACGGAGGCAGCGAATACCTGCAGGCGAATGCTCTTCGCGATACAGCGGTGATCGAGAACGAACGATTCGTGGAATATGATGAGAGCGGCGCAATCAAGGGTGCCCCCAAGAACGCCACCAAGTCCAAATACGCCGAGGACATCAAGGTCAACAATCATACATCGGTATGGGGTAGCTGGTGGCATGCCTTCCAGTGGGGTTACTCATGCTGTTTCTCTACTGTCAAGAACAGTTATTGCACAGGTGAAGATGGCAAGAAGGCTTTTGAAGATGAAGGCAACATGTTAATGATCGAGGAGGGCGGGGACAACGACGATGAGCGTACTCAAGATACCCAAGACCTTCAGTCTGAACCTGCGACTAGCTGGGCGAAACAAGAAGACTCCAGCGCGAATGGAAAGAAGCGTACACTGGAGGAATTGCGAACTGGGATCACTGAAGAGGAAATGGAGTCATATAAGCGGAGCCGATTGGCTGCCGACGACCCCATGGCCAACTTTATTGGAAAGGACTAGGTCAAATTGGAGGATCTTCATACTTTGTCATTCTGGGCGTTTCTCTGTACCAAAATACCCCTTTATATTCTGCATGACACAATGGAAACCCATTTGCATTCAATCCTAGAAACAGTAACCTCGAGATTTTTGTCACCTTTGACATTTCCATAGTTCGAGTTGGCCGTGAGTGGGGCATCTATGTCACGTGTACTCCCGTGCACGGTCCAGGCTGTCATCATGTGATGTTGAATCACGGGACTCAGGGCTTGTGCCCTGGATCCCGTGACGTGCCCACACCACTCGCTTAGCCTGGACACCACCACCGGAACTTTCGAGATACGCCTAAGCGACGACGACCACGACAACAGCCCTTCAGCGGAATCGCCAGGTACGTTCGCATGCCGAACCTCCATACGTTCAATCTCGATCCCCTTACTGACATTTTCCTTTTTTGCTCCCGCAGTTCCCTAATTCAAAATGAGTACGTCCGATGCCGAAACCTCGCACCGCGAATCTACGCTACATCGAAACGATCCAGACTGACAACCACCACAGCTAAGGGTACCTCGAGCTTCGGAAAGCGCCACAACAAGACGCACACTCTGTGCCGTCGTTGTGGTTAGTATTACACCTCCCCATCGAATGTCATGTTTCCATCCCGGCTCCGAAAGTTTTCGCAAACCGATATTTCTCGTTCTCTTGATTCGATTGATGACAGTTGTGGGCGACACCGACGGACGCTATGGGATGGGAACATCGACACATCTCACATCCAGGACGAATTGCTGACCGGTTGTCTTTTTCGCGAATTATAGGCAAGCGGTCCTACCACATCCAGAAGTCGACCTGCGCCAACTGCGGTTACCCTGCCGCCAAGACCCGCAAGTGTACGCATCTACCCCCCCATCCTTGGAAGCATCACGATGTGATTTGGAATATGGAGTCCGCTGGACATGCACCATACGGAAATGGCAATTTAGGGAAACAATTCGACTGACCAGGTTTTTTTCTTTGCAACAGTCAACTGGGGTGAGAAGGCCAAGCGCCGCAAGACCACCGGCTCCGGCCGCTGCCGCTCCCTGCGCTCCGTCCACCAGCGCTTCAAGAACGGCTTCCAGACCGGCACCCCCAAGGGCGCCCGTGGCCCTACCCGCCGCATAAATTACCCGTTTTCCCAATTCGGCGTCGCGTTTTTGTTCTAGGAGAGGCTGGAAAGGAATGAGGGTGGGCATCAACTGGCATGACATGGCCTAGCATTGCGAGATAGAATATACTCCAAATGCAACTGGCAATTCCGGAATATTAACGCTTTCCCCGTGGAGTTAGTTGGTGTGATGCGAGTCGTCGAGTCTCGCCCTTTCTTTTCTATTCTCCTACTTGGCCGCTGGCATTGAACCGCGAGTCAAGAGGGGAAATGATCGTGAAGGCGGGAAAAGTTTCATTTTTGTTTCTCTTTTCTTGAGGGAAAGAGAGATGGCATAAAAAAATCAAAGGGAAAGCGTGCATGAATTTCCTTTTTTCTTCCTCGTTTATGGCTGGCGAATATCCCCATGTCGTGACAGATACAAATGTGAAGATCTCTCTTCCTAACACCTTAAACGTGTTTTTTCTCCCGGTTCCAATCTTCCGTCGGTCTCATTTCCATGTCCAGATTGGGGATACGTAATGCTGCAGTTGATTTGACTTTCGTGGAATTGTTTCTACCACTAGAGCTTCCGCGGAGAGTAAACTAACCCACCAGCGCCATTCATTCAAGACTCCCCACGCCCAAACACTCGGACCCCGCCATCTCGCTGGATATAGAACAGCAGTTCCTTTTCATCCAGATTCTCTTCTGCCCCAGTACTCCAGCCTCCACCGCGGCTGATCCGCAACACCCCACTCACGTCCCTTGCGGCTCCCGTCTCCAGAGTGCGGAGCTGCATGACCGACTGAGCCCGATGCGCCAACCCAATCGCAAATGCGGCATGTTCCGACTCGACTGGAGTAGCCATCTGATTGCTTGTAGCCGGTGCATTGTGTAGAAGTGGCGAATCCGCAGCCAATGTCAGTACTGTAGCATGCACGGCCTAGTAAAGGCGTTAGCGTTGTTCTGGGAGAGGTTGTTCTTATCGACCTCTCGGTGTCGCGATGACATACCTGTTGTAAACCTGTCACCCAATCCATCATCTCCGTAGCGCCTATCGCGTAGCTCGGACCTGTAGAGGCAAGTAGGAAATCGGGCTGGTCAATAATCAAAAGAATCTCGTCATCCTCGGCTGTCTTGAGCTTTGCAATGACCGTTGAGATATCCCGCTCCAGTTTGTCCAAGGCAGTCAGACCTTGTCCGGCAAAGTTCAACTTCTTGGCAATTCCAGGCTCCGAAAGGCTAGGTCCACTGGCACTTCCCTGCCCTGTTGGGGGACTCGCTGGTGCTGGCGTTCTCCCCGGCACTGCGCCGGGCTGAGATCGAAGTGGGAGTGTGGTGCGTGCCGGTGCTGGACTCCCGGCGGATAGAGTAGGTAGAGTATTACCCGTGGGCTTTGGGGTGGTAAACAGCTCTGAGAGGCCATCCACATATGCGAATTGTTGCTTGCCTGCCAAGCGTGTAAGGTCAAGGCCCTATAATTGTGTCAATGGGAGGCAAAGATAAAAGGCCCAGTTCGGTTGAATAGGGTAAATAGATATTCAGTACTCTCCATTCGCCCGACTTCTACTAATAGTAGCAGCCGCGAAGATTCAAGATACAGGAACCTTGGAAGGAACTCAACTCACCAGTCGCTTGGCCTCTGCCTTCCAGAATTCCCAACCCCGCAGGAAGCTCACAAAAACAACTTTTTTCTTCTTGCCATCCGGGGAATCCTCGAGACCGATTGAGGCATTGTTTGACGAGTTGCTCAGGGCTGCATGTAGAAATCTAAGGACCAGCCAATTAGATGTTGCGCCGAGAATTGAGGAGACCAGCGTCAATGAGGACTCTGGCTGGGTTGATAGATAGGGCGCAAGGAGGGGTGGAAGTGGGGGTTGAGAAGGCATGATGAAGTCTTCTTTGCTGTCTGTTGATTATTGCTAGAACTGTTGGAGCAGTTCTATGTTTTTGAAGGGGAATGAATCTTGTTTGGAGACGTTTTATCCCATGCTTTTTGGGGTGTGAAGTTGGTGATGCACAAAAGGGAAAAAAATGTAGGGCGGATATGATTGGCTGTCCCGCCGTTTTTGCCAAGAGATGAGCGCTTGAAACGCGATCGGCTTCACTTTTCGATATTAGCCAACTTTGGTAAATATTGATGATAAATATGTTATTATAAATCAAGACATGCTCTTACTGTGCTCAAGCTAGGAGATAATATCTCTAATTTGAAGTAGGGGTCGATTCAAGTTGCCCGCCTCCAGGGCTGAGATGTTCGTGGTGCTCAACGAATATATACTTCAGGGTTCCCGCATATATGTAGTATGGCGAGAGTATGACCTGTCAAATCATACTACTAGTTCGATTCTTATCTCGCTGTATCGTACCTGTACAGCGGGAAACTTGAAACAATAAAATTGCAACTTTTTTATAGACTTAATTCATCCCAAATAATCCCATACGTTGCCAAGGGTATACATCTACCTCCCCCTCATCTTATCCCACCTGAATCCGAAACCGGACGTCTGCCTCAGGCTGCAATATGTTTTTTTTTTTCGCGCATATCACCTGACCACTTCCCCACCATCGAGGGGAGCGTTGGATGCGGCTTTCTGCTCATCATGTCGTGAGCCGATTTGATCAGAGTGGATCTATGCTTGTTCTAGCGCCGATCGTGAGTTATCCTTTATGTTCAATAATCCTGACTGCCCTTCACCCCCTCATGTATACCGTGACTACCCCACTCCCGCGCCGGCGTGGCTATAGTTACATCCCACCCACGTTGCTTGGGTCGCCACACGGTCTCAGCCGCCAGGGCAAGCATCGGAACAACTGTGTATTTTACTAACGATTTGAAAGATGACTTCTGTTTTATGCCATGATCAAAGCGCATTGGACACATATTATAAGGAATCCGCCCTTCCTCGATAAATATGATGGCTAGCACCCGTGATTCTCATTCTTTCGCTGTACGTGTCGTCTTACCTCCAGCCGCCATGTTAGGATATGGATCTATCAGAGACCCAACGCTCCGAGAAGGATCATGAAATTGACTGGAACTTGAACATAGTGCGACGAGTGCCGTCTGCGAAAGTCAAGAGTAAGTACTATCATGAACTAGCCCGACACTTCCTAGACATCTAGCTCATTCATTACTCTAGTGCTCGAAAGAAAAGCCGGTTTGCCTCCAATGCCGGCAGTTAAACAAGGAGTGCAAATACAGCCCGAAGGTTTCCAGGAGTCCCCTAACACGGCAGTATGAATTTCACCCCGTCCTGTACTACTTTCGGAAGTTAGACCAACCTAACATCATATAGACACTTGACTCTCGTTGAAGATCGCTTGCATTCATTTGAAACAGCATTGAGTAGGCTGTTTCCAGGAGGTGACCTGGATGCTACCCTTCGATCTCTTCTACAAAACCCAGAGGGGCCTAGAGCCCCTTCATCCAAATCCTCTTCTCGGCACTCGACACCGGCTAAACCGGATGCCGATAGATCAGAGCCCGCTCCAGAAGCTCTGCCACAGCAGGCGGATGGGTTTGACTGGGCCGAAAAAGAACTCACACTTGGTGACCTGACAGATGGAATGGCCGCGTTGTCCATCAAGCCCGAAGGAGCTGGCTATTTTGGTTTGTACTCCTGCCTCTAACCGTTATTGATTAAACATGTCTGACACTTCAACCCCAGGCGCTTCATCGAGTGTGGTTCCACTTCGGGCACTTTTTGACCATGGCTTCGATTTGAACATCCCAGTTCGCTCAGCGAGGTCTGGTGGCATACCGCTCAAGGCACAACTCTTGGAAAGCGCCCCATCTGGTCTCATCGAACAGGCCTTCATCGACGCATATTTTCTCAATTACCATACCAGCTACCCGTTCGTTCACGAACCAACCTTCCGCGCGCAGTTCAATGACCCTTCCCTGCGGCCCCATGGTACCGCATGGCAGATCCTACTCAATACTATCCTAGCACTTGGAGCATGGAGTATTGGCGATGATAGCTCTGATCTTGATATTACCTTTTATCAAGAAGCCCGGAGCTGCCTACAGCAGTCCTCCGTGTTTGAGACTGGAAACTTGACTCTGGTCCAATCATTGTTGTTACTTAGCAACTATGTACAGAAGCGCAACAAGCCTAACACGGGCTGGAACTATCTGGGATTAGCCGTTCGAATGGCCATGAGTCTGGGACTCCACAAGGAGTTCCCTGGATGGAAGATCAGTCTTTTGCAGCGGGAAATTCGCCGCAGGCTGTGGTGGGGTGTCTTCATCTTCGACAGCGGCGCCGCAAAAACCTTCGGCAGGCCTATTCTTCTTCCTGAAGAATGTGTGATGGATGCTAAACAGGTCCTAAACATCCACGATGACGTAAGTAAAGGACCTTGTGACTGGGCTACTACCCAAAGAATTATGCTAAGTCTCCATGCCAGGCCCTGACACCCGCAACTACTTCATTGCCACTTGAATCACCTGGCCCAACTCTTTACTCTGGCTTGATCGCCCAATCTCGATTCCACCTTCTCACCAACAGCGTTTACCAACGTCTGATTTCCAGTCCCAGCATCACACCGGAGGAAACTCTCAATCTCCAAAAGCCGATGGATGAATGGTACAATGGCCTGCCCTCTTACATGCACTACCCACTACAACCTCTATCTACACACCCGTCACAGCCAGACGCGGACAATCTTGCTCTTGTCCGCAACCGCCTTCTCTGGCGAAACTGGAACCTGATCATTTTGATCTACCGCCCCATTTTGTTACGTTGGGCAGCTCGACGATGGGCACCCCACGGTGGCAGCTCTGATGGATCATCTGTCAGCTCCGAAACGGGAGCCGAAGATCCGACCGAAACAGAGTGTCGGGTACGTTGCCTGCAGAACGCCCGGCTAACGATTTCTTCCATCTCTGAATACATGGACAATTATGTTTGCACGAGAATTGGGGCGTGGTACATGCTGTGAGTCTGCCCATTCGAGAATCGAAGTATGGTTTTAGCCTTGACTAATATTGTACAAGATACTTCCTATTTCAAGCCGGATTGATTCCGATCGTTTTCCTTATGACGGATCCTTCCAGCCCGGAAGCACAGAGCTGGATCCAGGACATCGAAACAACGAAAGCTCTTCTTACCCACCCATCTTTCTGCAACAACCGTTTTGCCGCCCGATGCTCCGAAGTCATTAACAGACTTTTGGGCCCATCGATAGGCTCCATGTCTGGCATGCAGCCAAACTCCCAACCACAGAATCCACAGCAATACGGCCAACAACAAGCACAAGGTTTCATGCCATTCCCAGAACATTTATTTAGTGATCCTAGCTTTGGTAGCATGTTTCCTGTTGAACAACAAATGCCCAGTCCAGCGGGCATGGATTTCTCGGAATGGGTGAACTATCCACAACAAGAGTGATTTGTTATTTTATTCTTATGCACAGGTCTTTGAGTGAGAATTGTCCGGGCGAGTGTTTTGGAAGAGAGCCCGGACAGAACAGAGTCCATATTCGACGGGATGCATAGCCGTTTGCATGTTTTAACCCTATATATCATACCCAATGCAAATTTGTACCGAAATTTTGTAGCTACAGTTCTTCTTCCCACGTGTAGACAAATAATCAACGAAACTTTTTGGAACCCCAGCTTAAACACCGAAGCAGCGGAACAGCCCTCCAAACCAACCGCGGCGTCTCCGAGTGTGCTTCCCAGGAGCCGATTTCTCATCCATATACTCATTCAAGTCTTCACCATCAGGATCATCCAAGTAGCGCTCCGTCCGCACAGCAGCGATAGAAATTATACCAAGCTCAAAAGGACCCTCTTGATCGCCAAAAAAACTAGTACCAGAGAAAACGTCAGCCATAGTTGCTCCCAGCCCAGCCCTCCGACAAAACGCCGGGGGCACATAGTGAAGTTCCAACAGACAACATACCTTCTCACCATAATCCCAAACCTCTTCACATTCTTCAAATTCAACGGCTCAGCATCAACCTTATCCTTACCACGATAAGTCGGTCTGAAATCCTCCCACTTGACGAAAATCGTCTTCTGACGCTCAACCCGGAAATCAAATTCCCAGCTCACGCTACTCTGCTCTCGACCATCAGATCTCTTGGGCAGAATCTCGTCTTTCAGAGTCAGGGTGTATAATTTATCATCGGCACGGTCAACGATAATCTCTAAGCCATCGTGATGCGATAGATCCCATGTTCGGTCGTCGCCTCTTGTGCGTTGTGAAGCGAATCCTGCTCCGCCTAGGGTCGTTATGTCTCAGGTCTCCGTGGAAATGAGCGACCAGCGAGGAGGGTGAGCAGGTTAGGGTTGAGTGGGAAGATCCGCCACGGACGCGGTCGTCGGATGAGGTCCAGTCAGCTGAATTCCAGGCTCTGGGGGAAGGCAATCTGGTTAGTTACATATGATACAAGAATAGAGGGAGGTAATGCCTACCGGATGCCACCGAATAAAGGGAGGTGTGATGTTGGGGCCATGATGACTTTAGGTTGTTTCTGCTTGGATGAGAGCATTGACAACGGACTGCGGGTGATTGACCGATTAGCATCGTCAGAGCGGGGAGGGCGGTGGGGGATGGCGTCATAGGGTGGCTGTAGGTAGTATAGTTACACATAGTACTAGTAGTTAGTAGTAATTAATGTACTCCCTGCACATAATTTAGCGATAAATTACTCTGCGGTCTGGAATATTCGAATCGATAATGCTTGTCTTTGCTCAAGGGTATCTATCTATATACAATCTCATAACTCCGTGTCGCATCATGCCATCCCATGCAATCCCATGCAATCCCATGCAAAATACACAATCATTTCTCCAAAGCAGCCTCCACCTCTCCATGAAGCTCTTCAAGTCCATGGAATCCCTCTTCAATAACCCACTTCTGTCCATCCTGAGGGCTATGTAGAACGTGGCAGCTTGCCCCAACAACCAACAAACCAGGTGGTCGGGAACCCGCCTCCTCAAAGGCCAGACAAATATTCTCCAACGTCGAGCGGATAACCCTCTGATCAGGGCAAGATGCGCGCTCAACAATAGCGCATGGAGTATTCTTCGGCCAAAGTGCTCGAGATCGCTCGGTATCTTCAGCAGGGAATCCGGTGAGCGACTCGATAAGAGCAGACAGCCTGTGAAGAGCCATCAGGAAGACAACTGTTTGCGTGGGAACATAAGCTGGTGGGTTCGGCGCAGCGCCTTTCCTGCCAGTCCCCGTGCAGACCAAAACCTGGTCAGAGACACCCCGGTGCGTGGCCGGGATATCGGCGAAAAGCGAAGCGCTCATGGCGCTGGTGATACCAGGCAGTACCACGGGAATGAATCCTTCATTTCGGAAGAATTCAAACTCCTCCGCTCCACGTCCATAGAGGTACGGATCTCCCTGTTTCAAGCGAAGCACTTGCTGGCCCTTTTTCAAAGAGGCAAGACCCATCTGCAAGAACTCCTCCTGGGCCTGATCGGCGTTACCGGGGAACTTGCGGGCGATATGGACCTCGGTGCGACGAGGAATCAAGTCCAAAACCGGAGCCGGGACCAGTTTATCAGCCAGGATGATATCCGCATTTTGAATGGCGTTATATGTAGCGCGAGTCAGTAGGTCAGGGTGACCAGGACCGGATCCAGCGAGCACGATCTTTCCCTTCTTCGTAATTGTGCTAACACCGTTGACACCACTGACATCGGAAGTATCGTTCCTCCCACTAGTGTACGCTTTCAGAATAGCATCGATATCGGAATCGGTGATGGAGACAAGCTTGCGTAGTGGCCAGTACTCGCATATCTGAGAAAGCCAGCGCATACGTCTCAGTCTTAGCAGCGGCAACATCACCCTCCGTGACCAGTGAATTGAAGTGATGATTTTGACCAGCTGCATCGTCATCATCTCCCTCAAAAGCCGATTCACCCAGTCCCGCTGCGTTGTCTTCTTCCCATAATTGCCGACGCACGGAACCTAGTCGATCAATGGCAGATCCAAGGTTTGCAGGGAGGAAAGCAGCAATTTCACGTCGAAGTCTTGATGCGAGTTTGCATCCACGTCCCGATGTTGTAATTCCAATATGTAGCGGCCCGTCGGAGTAGGTTGAGAGAAGGCTGAATGAGCAGAGCTCGGGAGCATCGGACACATTGACGGGGATTCGAAGACGGCGACATAATGTTGAGATATGTGGGCCTGGTAAAATGGGATTAGCCTTATCCTGCGTATAGAGTGCAAGTGTAGATGGGGACTTACTCGAGGTATGCTTGCCACCCAAGGTAACGAAGACCATGTCGACCACGCGGTCCACTTCCTCTCTTCCCAGACTAGTCAAGTCACTGTCTTGAAACTCGCGACGTAGCCATTGTACAGATCCCTTGGAAATGTATTCTGACAGAGTAAAGTGCAAGTCTGCAGTCTCCGGCGCAATGAGAATCGGGGTGGCGCCGGCGTTAAGGCTCTTCGTACATCTCGCCGCCGCCAGAGGATTGGCGCCAATGATAAGATGGATTTGTGATTCGGTATTCCATGCTGTCATGAGTGGTACAGGCTGACCAGAGCCATTCGAGGCATCCTTCATCATGTCGTATTGCCGCAAATTGCGGACTACCCCTCCAAGAAATATGCTTTCAATATGATGCCAAATGTAGGCGGAAATACCCAGAGGATATGAATGTAAGAATGCCAGATGACACAAGAGAATATAAAGGAACTTCCAATGGAAACGATTGACTCAATGCGCCGTGCAACGATGATTCCGCGGAGAAAGAAGAATGACTCCGGACTGAGTAAAAGGCCCCTCGCGATTGGAGATAACGGGGCTGATAAGAAGCTGGGGTCAATTCTAATTGGAAAGATCAAGTGACACACGCCAACAGAATTGCCGCGACCTGCGCAAGGTCGTATATAGGTGTCCGAGGGTACAGAGAATATGCAGATGCAAATATTCAACGAAGATCGCACTCGACCGAGTGGATTTGTGTTGCGGCGGAAATTTTTCTATACAACTGCATATCCTAAAGTGGACTAGGGCGAAATTGCGTGATTGTGACTTTCTACAGGATTATGTCAGCATTGGAGATTGGCCAGTTGGTGAGCAGTGGATCTTAAATCTATGTATGCATGTATCCAAATGTTGGTCATACTCCATAAGTGTATACCTAGATGGTGAATATGTAGATTTATTTTAGAAAGTCAGTCCTACCGATCAATTCGGTGTGTAAGACTCCGACTCCGATCAATCAATCACTCGTCTTAAGGCCCGTTGGCCTGTCAAATGCTGGTTGGAAACTCCATCTCTGGCAATACGATTTGTGATTGAGCAACAATAGAAAATGCGTAGCATAAATAGCACCTTTCCAATCACTAGGAACTTTCGAAATGTGCAGTTGGGCATGTTTCAGTGTGCACTGATCTGATCTGATGTAGGCGGAGTGTACTTGCCAGTGTTGACCGCATCACGTGAGGCGGAGCTCACAGGTCGCGGCCAAAGGGCGCCCAGGAGCTCCGTCATCACCATCAGCCATCTTCCTGTCTCGCTTCCACGAATTGCGCTGTCGGTGCATCGTTAATCTGTTTCCAACTGATCTTTGACTTCACTGTCAGCTCCGGACCCCTTCGAACACCCAAGACAACCGCCATCATGTCCGTCTTGATGAAGCCCGAGAAGGACTTCACCAAGGACGCCGACAAGCTCATCCCAGAGGCCGAGGCCCTTGCGAAGGTGCGAGAAAAGATTATTCGATATTTGGGAGCCGGAAGGAACTGTACTGATGATTTCCTTCCAGACCGATGTTCAGGGTGCGATCGATAAGCTGCTGGCCTTGGAGAAGCAATCCCGACAGGTATGATCTCGTCTCCATCTCGACCCTCCATCCTATACTGACCATGGCTTCTCCCTCTATAGGCCTCCGATCTCGCTACCACATCCCGTCTTCTGATCTCCATTGTCACCATCAGCAAGCAGTCCGGCGACTGGGCCCTTCTCAACGACCAAGTGCTCCTCCTTTCCAAGAAACATGCCCAGCTCAAGCAGGCCACAACGAGGATGGTGCAGCAGGTGATGAAGTTCCTGGATGACACCCCTAATGTGGATGTCAAGCTCTCCGTCATCGAGACTCTGCGAACAGTGACCGAAGGAAAGGTAAGGACAGATGTGCTCGCAATTACTTTCGCACTAGAGCTAACATTCCCGTCCCCAGATCTTCGTCGAAGTCGAGCGAGCCCGCGTTACCCGCATCCTTTCGAATATCAAGAAGTCACAAGGCGATCTCGAAGCCGCTGCAGACACTCTGTGCGAGCTTCAGGTGGAGACCTTCGGGTCGATGACCCGACGTGAGAAGACCGAGTTCATCCTGGAGCAAGTCTCTTTGTGTATCGAGCGTGGAGACTGGACCCAGGCGTCGATCCTCATCCGCAAGATCAACAAGCGTTATTTCAACCGCAAACCGAAGAAGTCCGCCGAGGAGATCGAGAAACTCAAGAAGCAGGCGGAGGAGCGAGAGTTGACCCGAGGACCGGATGAAGCCCCAATGGAGGTGGATGACGATGTGACCGACCTCAAGCTCCGCTTCTACGACCAACAGATCACTCTCTCCAACCACGACAACAAGTACCTGGATGTTTGCAAGCATTACCGTGAAGTCTTGGACACTGAGGCGGTTGAGAACAACCCCGAGCACCTTCGCGCAGTAAGTTTCATCTCTTATAGTATGGCCGCCGATCGTACGTTCAATCGCTAACGCCAGTCCAGTCTCTTGCGCGCATTGTTTACTATATTGTTCTGTCTCCTTACGACAACGAGCAGTCAGACCTTCTGCACCGCATCCAACAAGACTCCCGACTGTCACAGGTTCCCGAGGAGGCCCGACTGCTCAAACTCTTCACTATCCCCGAGCTGATGCGCTGGCCCATGGTCGCGGAGCAGTTCGGCCCTCACCTGTGCGGTACCGATGTGTTTGATTCCCAGACCCAACAGTCATCCGAGAACCAGGCGAACCGTAGATGGCAAGACCTGCGGAAGCGAGTCATTGAGCACAATGTGCGGGTGGTCGCCAAGTACTACACCCGGATCCAGATGGGCCGTTTGACCCAGCTTCTGGATCTGACCGAGGAGGAGACGGAGAAATATATCAGCGAGCTGGTTACATTGAAGACCATCTACGCCAAAATCGACCGACCTGCCCGGCTAGTCAACTTTGCTAAGCCTCGCGATGCTGATGATGTGCTCAACGAGTGGAGCAGTGATATGAAGAGCCTGCTTGGTCATCTGGAGCGCATTGATCACTTGATCACCAAGGAAGAGATGATGGCTCGCATCCTGCCTACTCGTGGCAAGGAGACCAAGGCCCGTTAAGTGAACTTGAATGAGATGTGAAACGTTTGCCTCCGTGTAAAATAATTCGCCGGTAGACTTCTATGCACTATTTGTGAAGATCTATATACTATCTATACCAGGCTATACTAGTATTTGGGGGATTGACCGGCCATTCCAAGGTTGTAGTTGAGCTTGAACTTGAGAATGTATTCAAGTTGGGTATAATCTAGTCTAGTCGACAACCGATCTCCTTCCAAGGTTTATACTATATACCTACTAGTACTAGGACTCTAGTACCAGTATTCACCATTCTCTAAAACGGCATATCCATATCATTCACATCTTCCTCTTCCTCCTTATCACCAGCAGTACCTTTCTCCAACTGCTCCCGAATAAAACGAACAGCAGCATCCAGATAAGGCCGCTGACTAGGCAAAAAGTGACCACCAGGATGCCAAATAACAAGCCCCTCCTTCTCCGGCTGACCCTGACAAGCATCAATCAAAGCGCGACTCCTCCCCTCATCAACAACCGCATCCAACGAGCCCAAAACATGCAAAATCGGCGTCTGGATAGGAGGATTATCATAAAAGCCACGATACCGCGGCCCCGGAGCCCGAAACCCACTATAACAAAGCGCAAACTTCAACGGCGGATGTCTAAACCCAGTTGCCTCATCAAAGGCGCTGGGGAAAGACATACCGGCCGCACCCTCCGAGTCATCCTTCGCGAATTGCGCAAAGACTTCTTTCCGCCCCGGCTCAAGTAGACCGGCCACCATTCCCGCCAGCGCGGCACCCTGCGAGAACCCGATTACGCCATCGAAGGGCCCTTCGTCGGTGAGGACCTTTGCGACTGCACTCAGACCTTCCTCAATGCCGGTGTAGAGGGGTGGGTTGGCGCTGTTTGAGCGCCGCCACCAGCCGTATGCTTCGATGTCGTCGTCTGGGATGCCGGTGTCGGAGGGCTCGTAGCCTGGGATGTCGCTGGGTCGGAGACGTAGTGGGGCGGTTGGATAGCTGGCGGTCACTTCGTGTAGGGGGAAGGCTTTTTGGATATGTTTTGTTAGGGCGCGGCTTTTGGCGTGGAAGAGGGAGCCGGATTGTGTGTAGCCGTGCAGCATGAGGAGCTTGAGCGGTTGGCGCGCTGAGCTGGATGGGTTGGGTGCCATGGTGGTCGAGTAAGGAATTGGACGTCTCTATTTTTTTGAGAGAGAAATGAAAAAGAAGAAGAAGAAGAAAAAAGGGAAACGAAGGGTGAGCAGCAGACAGAGAAACGCAAATCGCAAAGCGCAGGCAAGAGATAGGAAGTCGGAGTCTGGACTTGGAGCTTGGGACTCGGAGCCCTAGCCTTAGCCCCATTTAATAAACACTCAGCCCAACTTTGTCTCATCAAGATACATTCAACCTTGGAATATACTACCATCCCCCAACATGGCTATCGACCTCGCAGCAGTAGCTGCAAAAATGCAAGCTCTGATTGAGTATGTTCTTCTCAATCTCTACCTCTACCTCTACCTCTCCGCTATGATAATCTTACCCCTCCACCCCTCCACCCATTCCAACCACCACCCACCAGGTAAAATGACAACGGAAACCTGGGAAGCAAAGAAAATTAATCAAAAACAACAGAGCATTCGAAGCCCACCCAGACAACCAGCCCCCAACCCCCAACCCAACCATCTTCTTCACTTACGACTTCATCCGCAACACCTACAACCAGCTCAAAGCCATCGACGCCGCCAAGTACGCCGCCGGCGACGGAGCCGCCAAAGAGGCCGTCACAGAAGTGGTCGGGCGCAACAATTTTTCCAACGTTCTCATCAGCGATACCAGCGGTAAAATGTCTGTCATGATGGGAGGTGGCCCCGGGTCCGCACCTCCCAACTTCGGACCTGAGGTCAAGGCCAAGGCTGAAGAGCTGGTTGCTACCGCTACCGCTTGAGACTTCGGGGCGCTCAATTTCAAGTCAAGTTGGCTTTGTTATACTTGAGACGATACCTTCCATCGCCGAGTCATATATTGCAAGCTACTACTTTGGAAAGATCCCGATCATCACGACATGAGACGGATCTATGAACTTTCTTCTTCTTTTTTCTTCGGACCTTTTTTAACGCTTCTTTATATCCGGTCATTTGGTTTCATCCAACTCATTCTTTTATTGATATGACTCCCCTTTTTATTTTTCGCTGTACGACCACAATCAAAATGAATATGAAAATACCCAATCTCAATACCATTCAAGTTGCCAATGACCTCACCATC